CCCCCAACCTCTTTTTTCGTGAATGTTACTCTCTAGTATCACCTCTAATCCTTGGCACTTTTATATGGCCCATTTGTGTTGCGATTGCCGTAAAACTCTTACTACTTGTAAACAGAGGCGGGATGCCATTGGTGCAATCGCTCCACCTAACCCTGGCCGTCACCCCTCCCTCCCCTCCCCCTTTCTAATTGTTCTAAACCACTCAGTGCTCTAGATCTACGTTACATCCTTGCGATCCGTCACCCGCTGGCTGCGCCAGTGAAGAGACAGACGGCGAGGATGGTTTATGCTCGTCGCATCGCATGCGGTAGTGTCTCCTGGGAGCAAGCAACATCTTTGCACCAAAGTTATTTTTGTCACTGTATAGAAATCTAAGGCATCGTTCTTCCCGCACAAGAAGAAAGGTGCGTGAAACTCCTCTTCGGAGCAGCAATTTGGAGCAAGCAAAAAATTTGATCCAAGTTTCCGCGAGCAGATCTACTACATAGATCTAAAAACTAGTAGTCTACGGTAACTCAATGAAGAATGGGTATCGAAACGTTGTCCTGGTGCTGCAATAAGTAATTAGAAATCTTTGAATCTTCTCAGATTGTGAGCATAGTGAGTTGTTAGTATTGTTTCACTTTATTGCAGCTTTCATAGGGTTTCATCTAGAAAAAGTTGTAAATATCGATAGATGTAGATTACAGGATATCCTGCAGGTTCTAATTGACTTTCTCTAGAAATCTTAATAGTAGCTACATGTACTAAGCCTATTGCCCATTTACTAATTTTCCAATTATGCACCACCTTGTCTGCAACCCACGCGACGCCACTGCTTGTAAAAACTAAACTAAGACTGAGAAAGATACTGTATAAAATCCATGAAACTATTTCAAAAGTTTCTCAAAGGCACAAACCAGATTGCTTCGACCTGAAAAAAAACAAAAAACCCCACCCCCCAAAACAACAACAACAACAAAACAACAACAACCCCAAACAAAACAAAACCTGAGACTTTGACGATGCAGACGTTATAACAAGTTTTGCTTCAGGTTAAACCTTTCACATGTTGAGTAATACGCCACTGTGGTCACATGATCAAGGGATTTATTAGTGAAGAAACCCTTTTTATTTGCTTCATTTTAACCTCTAATTTACACTTGTTCCCGTCTATGAACTCTAAACTCACCAAGTGTTCTCGGCTATTTTTTTTTACAAAGCGAGCATTGACAACAACAATGCAGCGGGTGCAGTTACCAGATTTGGCACGACTTCTACTTCTACCTTCGTCAATCGACAGGGACTTCCCCCTCGAGAAAATTGTTTTAAAATGTAATTTTACGTTCCCATAGACACAATTTGAATAATGCAGGAGGCGGGGTTCCGACAACAACATCCAAGTAGAAAGGCCAAGATATTCGATTAAAAACTCTCCCCACTTGGGAATTGAACATGGGTCTCCTGTGTGCGACAGCGAAGCCCATGACAGCTACACCATAGACGCTGATCCTTCAATGAGGATTACATTATTTGCTTCAAAACTGGTATTTGATAGATGTTCTGCAACCTCTTCAACACAATATAGGACTTAACATTGACCCTGCATGTCACGGTCAATCCACTGACCCTGGCTGAGAGGGACACAATATTCCAGCAGACAGACTGAAATGCTAGATAAAATAACTTCGAACTCACTTTTTCTACATGAATTAATGGTAAAGGATCTTATCTAGACCACAGTTGCATGGACTGGTATTTTATTTAGCGAATGTTAAATTATAAAAAAACCTAGATTTGTGTTGATGGTTACTTAATGTTGGGAAAAAAACCCCCAACAACCTCGTGCTGACCAAGGGACATGAGATCCCACACTAACATGAGTCTAAGTTATAGTAAAAGGCTGTGATCCTTTTCCCTTAAAGGAAAAAAAGGTGAAATGGTATAGGATTAATGCCCTATCATTACTATCAACACTTTTAGGTTATTTTGAAGGCGGGACCTCCAAGTTAAATTACCATCTCTGAAAGGACCTAGCCATATATAGGAAGTTTGGGTAAAGTGTCTTTCCCAAGGACACAACGTCAAACTGAGCTGAAGCTAAAACCATGAACCTGTAATTAAATGATTACCACTAACCACGAGGCTACCGATGCCACCTGCGATGGGGTACCACTCATGCCTTGATTTACGTTAATTTTGGCAAAGTGACGATATCTTTATTCGATATTAATTTACCTCAGTCTAGCTCTATTTCAAACCGATCTGTGGACCGAGGGTTTGGTCCAGGAAAGAGCAGACCCCAAAACCACACAGTGTGAGACAACCCACCTTCGGGATGTGTTAATAGTAGGACAATACATTTGTACAAGAATATGACGGAAAACCAAGGAAGATTAGTCTCTGTGGAGCTGGGTATTTTGGTGTAGTCTGATTCATCTTTTTAAAAAAAAAAAAAAAAAAAAAAAAAAGCAAGTACTAGATCTAGCTACAGTGGAAACCTGATATAACAGGGATGGTGGGAGTAGAGAAAATGTCCTGTTATATCCGATCCCTGAACCAGAAATGAGGAAAGTAAGCATTTGTGGACTAATCCAGCTGTAGGCCTACTTATTCATGGGTAATTTCCCTTGCCACAAGTACCCACGAACAGGGGTTTTGGCACCAACTTTCTCCTTGCTTCCTTAAAAACCCACATCAAAAGAGCTTGGTCCACAGCATCTGCATCGGGCAGTCTCATCTTCTTTCGATCCAGAGCAAACTTTCCATTGGACTCCAATTTGGAGTATGCTGCCACTATCTTCTCTCTATCCTTGATAATGGTGTGAATCGACCCTTGTGGAATGTCGAACTGACGACAAATCTCTGCCAGTGGAGCTTGCTTTTTGTCAACAGCCTGGATTATTTTGTATTTTTTGTAAATAGAAAGGTAATTTCTCTTGCGCTTGACATCGTTGATAACACATTACGCGCGTGTGTTGCTAGGTTTTGGGCTGCGTGTGCTTGTAGTGGCATGGCTTGCGTGGGCTAGCTCCATATCTCCCTCTCTCTTACTTTTTACACATTGCTACCGAGCCTTTGTTCCGGCTATAACCGGTTGGGCTACAATGAGGCCCTGTTATTGCCGATAGCTTTTAATAGAGACAAAGAGTAGGAAAAAAACGGGGGATTTAAAATATCCCTGTTATTACCGGATCCCTGTTATTACTGGGCCTGTTATACATGGTTTCCACTGTATATTCAAGGTTTTTTACTTTTTTACATTCTTTATACGTGTGTCAAGATAATATGAACACTATTGCCAGCACTTGCTTTCTTGAGCTAGCTTTTCAGTGCGGATAAAATGTTCTCTATTCTCTGTTACAGGCCACTCTATTGTATAAATCTGTCTATTGAAAAAAATTGGATGTGATGTGAAGGATGGATGGGTTTAAGTTGTGTGACATTTCAATAACTTGTCACAAGATTGTAAATAGTCGCTTTTAAGCACAAGGGGCTATCCCGATAAATGCTGTTTTGAGAAAATCGAAGGATAAGTTTTTGCCCTTTGTTCAATTTCTTTAAAATGCAAGGAGAGTTTTCTCTATTTATACCAAACAAATATATACACACCAGTGAAACCAAACTTCTCCTATAGGTAGGGCAACGCCAACTTTTGGTGTAGGTAAAGATTTCTGGAAACCCCCTGAAATCTGGGTTAGCCCGCTTGTCCTTAAAAGCGACCAAAAATCAGGTCAAACACGACCACACAGTTCATGATACAAAAGTCACAGATACAACTGCATGAAAAAATCTATTCTTGACTTTATTTACAAGTAGTTTTTGTCAATCATAGAGTCTCTAAATACCAACCAGAAACACTCTCTCTTTTGCTCTCTCTCTCTCACACACACACACACACGTGCACACACACATACATGCACACACATTAGACTTTGCTCCACAACTTACTCATAGATTTGCACAACAACCTCAGTCACTCCCATTGTCAGTATGAACACTGAAACCAGGAAACCCATTTTTTATTGATTTTATGCCCTTTCTTATACAGCACCATGTGACCTCCGAATGTAACAATCATCTGTGATAAGACTCCAAGCAAAATGGAGAGTCATGAAAACTCCTGCAACAATCAAAGTTAAAGAAAACCCTGTTTGGGAATTGAGCCAGGGCCACCCTCATCACATTTCATCAAGATGATGATACCATAAGAGCTGACAGTCTACCTATACAGTAGCAATTTCTTGGAGGATGGTGGACACAGCACCTGGGGCATCCCTCTCTATTCACTCAGTCTCATCTTCATGCTTTTGATTAGACTTACCTCCCGGTACTTATTTTCAATTTAAAAAATTAAAAAATGTTTTTCCAGCCACAATGAATTCACTGGGCTTGTATAAATCATTATCAGTTCCCCAAACTTTCCATAATCCACAATATAATGTTTTCATTCAGTTGAGACCAAACTTTCACTGAAACAAATTGTGGAACAGGTAGACAAGATATATTTTATCTTGCAATTTTATACAGGAAAGGTAAGTAAGAAACGGATGTCTGTGTGGATTTTACCACAACCTGAGTCAAGAAAGCATTGCTGTACTTGATGAAGCGGGATGACCTACTACAGACACTACCATTCATTTCAACAGCAGAGAACTCGGCTACACAAAAGGACACTAGGCCCAGAGAAAATACAGCCAGGCACAGATAATAAGAACACGGGAAAACTCGAAATTACGGATAGCTCATGAAATTTGCAATTGTCCAACTGATATCTCTTTAATCTTCCGTTATCGGCTAACCTGAATTATAGATATGTTGAATACATTCGTCAATCCCTGATGTGTCTCGAGTAATCCGTGCCCGACTGTAGTCAGAAAAACAATTTGCACCCTGCTTGGGTTGGAACCTCAAACTTCAGCAATGCAAATCAATTTCATATCCCCCTGAACCACATTGCTTGTTCAGCGTTATGTTGGAGTATGCACAGAAAAGGATCTGAACCTTCAACATTCACATGCCACCTGTCCCAAGGGACACAACCAACCGTACACGTTTACTTTTAATTATAAAAGTGAAAGCACTTAAGTAACAAATCCGCATCATCAGGAAGCTGCCGTTGTCCAACAGCACTTCATGCTAGAAGCACATTTAAGGCAGCCGGCCTCAATGTTCTGCAGCGGGCTCCTCATGCTCATGGATGGGGTCATACACAGACTTGGGCATCAGTTCTTTGTACAAGCTCTCCTTTTGCTCTTCTGACATGCTGTCTATGGCCTCGTGCCACTCGGAGAAATCCACATATGCCTTCACCTACGGACAGTCAGGTTTAAAAAAAAACCCAAACTATTGAGATGCACATCCATACAACAATAATAATAAAATGTAATAATAATTGTATTCATATAGCACATATATCCATGTTCTACAATTTGCTGTATGTGCTTTACACCTATTACTAAACACATTGTCATAGAAACAGTCACTGTTTGCCATTATTATTATAGTATGAACTCCTTGCCGTACTACATTACAATATTATACAAAAAGAAGTCCATTCAAAGGCCAGTCCCACACTGTGGGGTTTAGGGGTCCTTAGAACTGTCCCTCGGGTTTATTGCACCCTGCATAATTGGCCGCTTTTAAAGACAAGCCGGCTAACTCTTCGATTTTCTCAAAACAGCATTTTTTGGGATAGCCCCTTGTGCTTAAAAAAAAAAGCCACCAATTTAGCAAAATTTGAATTTTTTTTGTGCGCATAATTTCTGATTATTTTCCTTTATCAATCTTTGTTAAAATTAACAGAATCGCATAATTTCACATTTTTGGGCTCAGTTTGCATAATTTCAGAATATTTTTTTCCATAAAACAGCGGGGACAGTTAGGAGATCTAGAACAAAATAAGAAGTGCTATGGTGTATGAGTGGCAGTATACAAGCACGGGTACTTGTGGCTCATGTCATTAGGACAGTGAACTGTTCAAACCTTTCATCCTTGATGTACATGGGCGATATTGATTTTAGTGTAATGTTTTTACCTTTTTTCATGTCACTTGTGCAGAAAAAAAGACCCCCCCCCCCTAGCTCTGAAGCCACACACATGAAGGGTATGCTCTAGTTCAAACTTTTTTTCTGCAAAATTACTTTAAAATCATATTTCACAACATAATGGATGGGAGAGGTCAATGCTTCCAAAAAGTGATACAAGCAGGCCATGATATGCAGTGTTACTGCTGTAAACTGTACCCAGAATTATTACAATTACAGAATGAGTGAGAGAGGCAAGTAATAAACCTAAAAGTGTGCAAACCTAAACAAAATCTACCCAGAAGCTGGCCTTAAAAAAGGGTGACTATTACACCCATTACCATTCAAAACTAGTGAGATTCCAAAAATTAAAGCAAGGTAGCCCTAAAATTCTCTAGCAACAATTTTAAACTTCTTAAGTAATAAAGCTCTAAATTTCTTTAGCAATGTTAAGCAATGAAGTTCTAAAAAAACTCAAGCAACAAAACAGTGAAATTCTCTAGAAACAAAGCTGTAAAATTCTCTAGCGACAAAATCCTAAAATTCTCAAACATTTAAATCCTATCATTCTCTTGCAACAGACTTTAAAAAGGGTCCCCCTTTAAAAATTCTCAAGCACTAAAGTTCTCTAAAATTCTCTTGAACAAAGTCTTTAGTTCATCTTACCCGACCGTCTGCGTCCAGCTCCAGGTTTCCATTCTGCGACTGTCTCTGGGCAAACAGATGCATCTCCCCACTGGAGCTGGTGCTGTACGTGCTGCTCTCATTCGTCTGAACATCCGTGCTGTTCGTCTCGATTGCCGCCAAAAGGTTGGGGCCAGCAAGCAGGTTATTTGTCGGTGTCTTGGGCGAGTCTGTTGCAGAGCTATCTGAAGTACGGTACTGACTTGACTCTGCAGTGCTATTGGACGATGGGCTGTTGTAAATACCGACGGGGAACCCCGTTGATGAGTGAGAGACCAGATGTGTGGGTGGTTGCGACGGCGAGTGAATCGTGCGTATAGAACTTGGACTGTGCACAGACAGGGCGTAGTTGAAGTTTCGCACCAGAAGTGTGATATCATCTCGCTTTTTACACAAGTTTTTCTGCTCAGCTGTTCCTGTCATGAAGGTGTCATGATGTATGCGAACAACACGATCAACCACGGCCTGCGCCACGCCCGTCAACGTTGTCTGCTGGCTGAACTCCACGGCCACCATCTTAGCGATGTCTCCATTGACTGTCTCTGTGCCCGTGGCATCAGTAAGAGCCTGGTACAAACCATCTGACATGACCAGTAGAAAGGCACAAGAACTGTCAATGTCAATGCCACCATCTACAAAGGGATCAGCTATCACAGGCTCCACTTTGGCTGAACTGTGGGCAAAATGGGGAAAGAAGGGTTCCTTTTATTCTGCAAAAGTTCTGTCACATAAGAGAACACATGCATATCTGAACACCATATGAAATCAGGTACTTGTCAAAATAATGAAATTGAAAAAAACCGGCATTTTTCTGCCTGCTTGGCAATTTTTATCAATTTTTTTTTTTGAACACTTTAAAAAAAAACCCACATTTCTGTGTGCATTGTACTGAAAAACGTTAAATAAAATCACAAAAAATACAAATTTTCAGTTTCCAAGGACTCTTAAGCTATGGAAATCACCAAACTTTGACGCCATTTTCTCATTAATTTTATCTGTGAAACCAAACCTTTTTCAATCGCGACTATCTCGACTTCTATTCAAGATAGATGGGTATTTTTTTGGGTCTCAAGCAAGACAAACGAACAAGCTTTAAGATGATATCAATAACTCCATATGCCTAAAAATTGACAAGCCCCTGATTCCATCGCATCATGACAAATATAGGAGAAGTCACATTCTATAGCCTGTATCATTTTTACTAAAAGGAAAGAGAAGTTTGCTATCTTCTATTGAAAATATTCTCAAAAGAATTTGAATTTCAAAGATGTCAAAATGTGCTTCAACATTTGTTCCAACCTAGGACCATTAGAGACATGCAAAGAACTTAACGCATGTTCCTCACTTACCCCAACTGATTATGGGCAGTCGAAGCATTTGACTAAGACAGAAACAGAAAATTGACCTTAAAAGGATATCATACTGTACATTCCCTGATAACTAAGATGACACTGTGAAAGTAAAAAGACAGGGTAAGACGGTTATTGTTATGTCCTGTGTGCTTTTGATCAGAACTGATACAAAACTATTATCTCTCACTTTCACTGCAGACTCAGAGACTGCCATTGACGAGATGAGGAAATTGTGCAGAAAACAAAGTAATATATATATATATATATATATATATATATATATATATATCCATAGATAAGGAGGTCATAATAACACTTGGGACTAAAGTTTGAAGTGTTCAACACACTTTGTTTTACAGGTTATCTCTCATAACAGATCAATTAGCAATTACATTTCATGCCTTGCGACCTCACTCATCTGAATCAAGGTGAAATAGACGGACTATGGAGTTAAAAAGAAGCATAAACAAGGGCAGGACAGAAATTATTTAATACAGCAGGACAAGCAAGACAGACAGACAGGCAGACAGATAGACAAACAGACAGACAAACGAAAGGGGGATGGTCAAGAAGTAGGACTTAATGGTGGTGTCCTCCAACGACATTATACTTCCATCAGCATTAACAAAAGTTACATTCATTGAAAGGACAAAAAAGAACCCACAAAAAAAATATCTACCTTAAGATGTCGATATCTTTGTAACCTCCCTTGACGTGGTAGTCTCCGATACAGCGGGTGCAATCAGAGTTGCCAACTCTACGCAAAATCTTCAACTTGTTGATGTCCACGCCCGCCTGGTGCAACCTAGCCTGTTCCCCGGGGTCAGCGATCGTGTGGTCATATGACAACTGGATCAGGCGTAGTACTCCATCAGGACCAGTCTTACACAGAAACGCTCGGGTGTCTCCTGGAGAGTTGGGGGAAAGGGGGAGGGGGTGGAGGAGGAGAGATGTATTGTTTGTTTGAGTAAAGAGAAGAATATTAACACAACAATGGTCATTCAGTGGTAGGATCAAACGAGACAGACAGACAGAAAAATGAGATTGAAAAAAGAAATTAGGACATATTTATGGTGCCTTCCAAGTACCCACTTCTGCTGCCAGATTTTCGATAACACGGCTAGAACAAAAGACATTTAGTGAAGAGAAAAGATGCTGTCTCTCTAACATAGAAATTATACCATATGAATGGCATCACCTGTCGAGGAATTTCAGCTCTGTTCATGTGACAGTTGAATATTTATCTTTTATAATCCCCCCCACCCACCCCCGGCTTGGATGCCCTAACACTAAGAAGGTCTCAAAGAGAAAAATAACTTTGACCGTACTCCACAGCTTGTACTGTATGCTTTCTGGGAAACCAAGAATGTTTCTGAGTGTTCTAGGGTCTGTTGGGGTAATCATAGCTGTAAAGTGCATGAAGCATGCTGTGGAGCGTGGAAGTGAGCTATATAAATGCAAAAATTATTATGATTATTACTATTATCTATTGTCTCTACATGAACAAACACCACACCCATCAACGTCTGCCCTAGATTTTTAATAAATACCAGAGAGTAGGAAAAAATCTCCACATATACAAACGCCATACTCACCAACATTAGCCACATAGAGTTTGTTGTTGTAGATGAGAACCACGGTTGCAGTGGTACCCCCAGAGATTTCCTTCTCAAGTTCCTGAAGTTTGCTGATCACATCAGGATACTTCTGATATGCTTCGTACTGTCCAATTCCCTGAGAGGTGAAGTGAAAACATTACATGAAAACCTTTCACTCAAAAGTAAATTTAAGGCAGATAGTGTATTTTAGCATAAGAAAATCAAATCCTCAATACTTCGTTTATTTGACTTAATAATATTCAGAAAAGAAAACTTGTAATACAAATGCAGTAACATTATGAAAGCTTAATCGGTTTTTCCATTAGCAGAAATATACAGCATCTTTCAGATTTTAACCTTACTTTAGGATGTGGTTCACATATCACAGCAATAATTGTTATCAATTAATACATTTTTTCTAATGAAAGAAATCAAAATGACCAAAAGTTTTACTTGAACACTGTCATAGACACTGAATATGTGTGTCTTGCTGCAGGAAACACTGAACTTATTAGAACCTCCTGTCAGCCCAAAGACACAATCAAACTTTGACCACTCACAAATGTTATATTTACAGCTTCAAGGAAAATACTTTAACTTTAACTTTATATTTTTAGTACGAGTTTTACGACACTTGCAATACAAATAGGTCAAATATGTACTGCAGATTAGAGGTGTTAAAAGAGAATATCATACAAAGAAAAAAAGGAAAGATAAGGATGACATATTTGAATAGGAAAGAAGGAGCAAAGGACACCAGAGTACCTGCCAACAAGCCACATACATGAACTTCTATTCAGAGTCTATTCCCATGTAGTTTATGATGAAGCACCATGACGAAAGCCACAATTCCCAAGCAACAGAATAGAAAATAGTCCTTTTGAATAGTTAAATGAGACAATTCGATTAACCACTATAATTAGGTATTTGCAATCCATCACAACATAAAAGCTACCAGACTGCATTTCAGAGGAAATGTAAAGAAGAAAGAGTTATTCTGTTACCTCAGGGAGTCTATCCTGGCATGTGGTCCGCTCTGCCAGAAGACCATCCATCGACTCAAAGTATCCTTTCTCCACACCGATGAAGGCCTGGCATGGGAAAAACGAATGTAACATTATGAAACAAGAAAGGAACAACATGCTTAAACTTATGCATAGACATGCATCTTGAATCTTAGTGTTTGTGGGAGAGCAAATAATATTTTATGTGTAAAGGTGTGCTCTTAAATATATGCAAGCAAGAGTGTCTGTCTGCATGTCAATGAGTGCAGGTGTATATTAGAGTTGGGGCAAGCGGACGGACGGGTTCGTTACTCGCTGACTCAGTCAGAGCGAAGGGGTAACAGACGGCCATGCGAGCAAACTGCGAACCTCAAGACAGTTCGTTTTTTGGGTCCACTCCACAATTTGACTCTCTCAGCGAGCGGACTGCGGACCTCAAGTCTCAAGTCAGTTCGTTTTTTGGGTCCGCTCCACAATTTTATTCACTGGGCGGGCGGGCGAACCGACGAACTCCAGCAGACGAGATACTCGACGTGAGGTTAGGCCCACTGTCTATTGTTTGTTAATTAGGCCTAATGTTTCAAACCACTAACGGTGCCACAGGGAGTGAGAGAGGCTGGTGACGTAGTACTATGAGTGTAACCTTTCACCTCGTGCGTGGGCACACTGTGTACGTTCCAATTATCACAAAGGCCGGGGGGGGGGGGGGGGGGGGGGCTGTAAGTAGTATGCAATGGAAGGAGTCGCTCCCCGTCCGTCCGCCCGCTCGAGTGCATGGTGTCTCTCCGTCCGCCTGTCCACTCGCTGAACGAACTGTAGTCTCTGTCTGATGTGTAGTGAGTAGCGAGTAACGAACTACTCTCCACAAGCAGACGGTTCGTTACCCGTCCGCTCGTTTGCGGGTAGTGCCAGCGAGTAGTTCGTTACTCGCGGACGCTAATTTTGCGAGCCCGACCCAACCCTAGTGTATATCAGTCTGTTCCTCATGTAAGAGTAGCTGCTAACTGAAAAGAAATTGAATTGAAAGACACCTACTTTATTTATGTTCACTAAGAGCCAAACAAAATTTAACATCATCCAACAGAAGGAATGAGAGGAAAAGAAAAACATATTTTAACTGTACACTTTCAACAAGAACCAATTGTCAAAGTTAAAAAAACAACAAGATGGTCTTCCATAATCTGCTGTGTAACTGTTAATTATACAATAAAGTACATTAACATTTAAATCTGTCAAGATTGACACAATTAAGCACATAGAATCAAAGGAACAGTTATAAAGAAACAAAACCCCCCCCCCCCCCAAAAAAAAAACCAACCTCAACCCAACCCTGCTTTGTAAGTGTTTCACATGTAACATATACGTTGCAGTTAACTTAAAACAGCAGAGTATTAATATTTTATGTTTTAGTAAAAATTTTATGGCACTTGCAATACAATTAGGTCACATACGTGCCAAAAATTAGAGGTGTCACAAGGCAGTGACAAATATAAAAAAAAGAAGGAGAAATAAAGACAATGATTGTTTGATAGGAGGAATGAAGGAGCAAACCAAAAAAACTTAAAAATTAATGGACATGTGTGTACGTAAAACATAGTATTATGCATAATTATGCTTTAAAATTTCTAGGAGAAAAATAGTCACGCAGTGAGCCTGGCAATGTGGTCGCTAAAAATATAGAATGCAACAAAAACTCACAAACGGTCATAGTAAAATTGAAACTTGAATAACTAGAAACATTCAATAAAAACATCTGTGGTTAAATCGGGTGCTCATCAAAATAATCAAAGTGAAGAAACTGGCATTTTCCGACAGGTTTGTGAATTTTTATCGAATTTTTGTTTTTTTAGCTCAACAACTTTCATGCCCATTAAAAAACACATTTCGGAGTGTATTTTACTGAAAAACGTTGATGAAAGGCACAAAAATTGTAAGTTTCCACGCACTCTCAAGCTAAGGAAATAACTCATCTTTGGTGGCCATTTTCTCACTAAATTTATCTCTGAAACCAGGTGACCCCCACCTCCTTCAGTCGCACATATCTTGACTTCTATTTAACATATATGGATATTTTTTCCCCCAAAAGCAAGGCAAATGAACAGGCTTTAAGATGATACTAACTCCACATGCCCAAAAATTGACAAGCGCCTGATCCCACCACATCGTGACACATTTGTTCTCTATAAATAGAAAACCCCCTCCATTCTCTCTCTCCCTCTCTCCCCTCTCTCTCTCATTCTCACATGCTATTTTTTCAGTCTCATGGTCAGGCATACACATGCATGTATAAAAGTTAACTGTTTTGACAGGTATGAATACACACCTGTCTCAGAGCCTCCTTGACTTCATGGTCACCAAAGTTTGGTTGCAGCTGGCCAAGTAACAGCTCAGCTGGGATACGCTGAGCGGCAAAGTCTGCTACACGAGTGCCATTGTGTCCATCAAACACACCGTACAGGAAGCAGTTGTCATGGCTTAAAATTAAAGAAAAAACAGAACTTCAGCTATAGCAGAAGAACAACATGGACTACAACACTATTAGTGTGTGTGTGTGTGTGTGTGTGAGTGTGTGTGTGTGTGTGTGTGTGTGTGTGTGTCCGTGTGTGTGTGTGTGTGTGTGTCAGTGTGTGTGTGTGTGTGTCAGTGTGTGTGTGTCTGTGTGTGTGTGTGTATGTGTGTGTGTGTGTGTGTGTGTGTGTGTGTGTGTGTGTGTGTGTGTGTGTGTGTGTGTGTGTGTGTGTGTGTGTGTGTGTGTGTGTGTGTGTGTGTGTGTGTGATTTAGTATGTTCGTGCGTTTGTGTACATGTGTTGGGGGGGAGAGGGGGCATCATTAGACAAATCATATTTGAAAGATGAACTTGAAAAGAAAGAGGATTTCATTGTTTTAAAAGCATTAGCAAGTAGTTTTAGTTTTAGTAGAGTTTTTACAGTGCTCACAACTGCATAAGGTCATATGAGCGCCAAACGGTGGATGTCAACAGAGAAGTCCTTACAGGGAATCAGGCTTACTCTGCTCATTTCTCTTGCTTCAACAGCACAAAGTCTGCTTCGAATATCAAGGCATCCTGGAAATGGTGGGTCACAAGAGTGTAACAAACATACAAAAGAAGTAGGGGAAAAATGACGATAGTAAGGATTAGGAAAGAAAAAGCAGTAGTTCCCCGTTGCAGTTCAGGTACAGTTATGAGCATGACATTGATGAATCAGCCCATTTACAATTCTACTGTGCATAAGAACATGTTAATGTCCACCCTTTGGGAATGGCCTAAAGACACTTCAGTCAGTAGCACCGCCCCGGGGGTGTTTAGCAAGTAGAAACTCCAAACATCATAAGAGTTGAAAAAGATAACATGATACAATGTCATTCCGACGACCACTGTCATAAAGAACACACAACTCTAAAATGTATGATGAAACTTGTCAACGTTTTAAAACTTTTATGAACCTGGGTTTCTATTCCAATTATTGGTAAATTTATTGTTTTTCGTTTCGCTTTAGTACTGAGTTTTACAACACTTGCAACAATTATGTCATATATGCGCGAAAGATTAGAGGTGTTACTAGAGAGTAATATACGAAGAAGGAGAGATTATAATATAAGGACAACAAGATGTTTGATAAGAAAGGAGAAAACCAGAGCATCTATGAACTGCCAAACCACAAACTTATTAGTCTTTCAAACATATACAAAAGAAATATGAAAAAGATAGTTCATTCATTCATGATATAAACAGCAGCAGATAAATAATATAGAGACAAGCCGACATGTTAAAATAATTTCCTTCCTTAATGATAACGGCAGCTGTGATAAATAAATTGTCAAATGAATTCTACACATCCAGATTGATAGGTCGAGTGGTATTTCTTATGAAACAGACTAGAGAAAGCTGGTATCAATTTAGTAAGAGTGTAACCTGAAATGGAAGTTTCTGTCTTCACAACCATGTGCTTCTCGTCGGTTCCCATCCTCTCGGTACACCTGATTGGTCGACAGGCCTACGCCAGACAGGTGGCAAACTGGCAGATCATCTGTCCAACTCAAAGCAGAATCCTGAAAACACATAACGGGTAAGCAAAAAAGTTTGTACAAAGATTTCCTCTGATTTGAGCTATTGACAAGGTTGCTTTGCCAGTGCTTCGACTTGATTCATAAAATTGATAAATCTCATCTGCACAAAAATAAACAAGCATGGTTATCACATTCTGCCAGTGAAAAAACTTGCAGTCTTGTAGTCAGAGCAGCAAGAGACTGATATCCAATGAATGTCCAATGATTTTATATATGTTTGTAGCAAAGGAAAGTGTGTCATCAATTTTCATTCTAAGGTCAGGGCTTCGAGAGCATGAAGCTCTCTCCACCAATCTCCTCAAGTTAAAATTTTTTTTTTACCCCTTCTTACAAGAAAAGTTTCATTTAGAAAGTTAAATGACCTTGAGTTCTCTTGCCTTCTATTTTCCTCTACCTGGAATGTATATATATATATTATTTGTTACATGTTAACATCTGAAAACATACATAATATGACACGATAAGAAAAATCTGTATTTCGATGATACCGTGATTAGAACCTGTGAGTGAGAGAAGCAAACATGATTAGTAAGCCAAAAGCCTACCACTATGCCACTAGGCTGTTAACACAAGGGGGTTCAAAAAATTCTTAAGAACCTACTCGAGTTAAGAAGGAGTGTATCACTTTAAAAAATTACCAAAACACAATTATTTTTTATCTCGAAGGATTTTGCCGAGGTTCCGTCGCAAAATTACGACTGTATCAGCAGATGCGATCGGCTTAAAAAAAATGAATTTAATTTCTGAGTCGAGTCTACCTAATTTGCATAAAAGGGAGGACCTTCGTTGTTTGAGATGCCACTGTGGACAAACGTGGATTACTCAGTACCGGCATACCTTTATTTCGTTTTTTTCGTGCGCCCGTGTTTGTGGTAGGGGATGAATAGAAAAATTATACAAATATAACGATTTCATTTCGCACATGTTTTGAACGGAAAAAAAAGAAGAAAAGAAACCCCCCCCCCCTAAAAAACGGATTCCGAGGCAACCAATCCCGACCTCAGTGCTTTCTTGTTCTATCTCCATTTTATAATTATATCTAATGCTATCCCTACCTCTACCCCTAACTTACCTCTACCCCTACCCTACCCATACACCTAACCCTAATAAACCCTAACCCTAATTAACCCTACCTCTACTCCTACCCCTAACTAACCCAAACCCTACCACTAACTAACCCTACCCCTACACTTAACCCTTCCCCTACCCTACTGATAACCTAACCCTAACTCTTAAATCTCTATTCCACCCTGTTTCATAGTGGTCGCTCGTTACTGCTATAATATGTATTATGGGAGGACTAGTCTAGATGGGAATTTGGTTAGAAACCGAAGAAAACCTGGCAAACCAGTGCTCCAAAACAGTGGAAGTAAATAAAGTCTGCAGGGCTAACAATGCTAGAATTATAGGTCGGTTCTCGAGCCGACAGGGGCGGCTTGGCGTACGGAACACATTTTCCCCGCGCCGCTGCCCATGGCTCGGCGTAGCGAATGAGTTAAAGCCTTATAATGACCAGTCTGCCTTTACTATAAATTTATAAAAGTTTTGTGATCTTTCACTTGTCTATATTCAGGTCAGAGTTTTATATCCTTTTAAGTATGTTTCTGGTCAAAGAAACTTTACAAAGTATGCACTATTAATTGATAGTTCACTTGTCACTTAACAAGTGATTGTGGTAGATTAACATCAACAAAGGGAAGCTCATGGTATGCAAATTATTAAACCCTTTGTACCCCGATGAGTGCCATTCATTATTCTCATGTGTGGCGAATGAGGCAAGATATTGCTGCTGTGAAGAACGGTGCTCATCATGCCTTGCAAATGCAAGGACCATAGAGCGCTGTCCTTTAAGGTACATACAAAAAGAACGCTTGCTTGCGATAAATCATAAAGCGAGCCCTTGTGAAGAAAGCACTTGCTTGTAGTTGAGGTGTACATATAGAACGATTGCAAATCTGGTCAGAAGTTGGGCATTTGGCGCCATGGCGGATTCGAGTGATGACGAATTTTTGGCAACATTCCAACGCGCTCACTTTTATCGCGAGCAAGCGTTCTTTTAGAGCGTACCTTTAGACTTGTAAACTTAAACTGTCCTTTATAGTTAGAGTTATTACTGTACTGTCTGTACTGTTTCTATTATTTATGATGAGTAAACTTGTTTTGCATTTAACTAATAGCGGATTCAAATTCAGTCATTCATACATTTTTCATACAAAGAAATCTTTTGCTTTTAGAGACAGTTTGCACTCACTAGGCCTATATAATAGGCCTATCTGGGGCACAAGTCGAGTATTGAAGCTTAAAAGAGTTATGATTTAGTAGAGTTGATTTCAATGTAGATATAGATTCTAGATTTAGTGGAAAAATAAGATTTAAAAAATATTACTCCTAAGGTGGAGTGTGTTTCCATCATTATACCAACACATGTTGTGATGATCATAAATTACAAACTGGGGATTCCCAAACTGATTTCCAAGTGGCTATTCTCCGGCGTCGCTCCGGTCATAATAGATCGGAAGCTATTCTCCGGCATCACGCCGCCGGTCTATTATTGTCGTCGCAGATTTGCAAACCTCTCTCATCTGTTTGTCTAGGAAGGAAAAAAATTCCCATTCACAGCGGTTATAGAGCGCCCATTTAGTTTCGGCTGGCGCGAGGCAAGCAAGCCCGCGCTTCCCCAGGTCACGGGGTCATTTACCTGC